TGTGCCTCAGTCTAGTCTTTCTTTATCTACAGGTACCTACATGCTTCATCTCCTGGGGAGCTATTTCCTTTGTACTTAGATAAGTCTTCCCCCAAACTCATAGTACACTTTAAGTCTATATGGGATTTAGAATTTTAATATTTTTTTAAATCTTTATTTTTTAGAGATACAGTCTTACTTTGTTACCCAGGCTAGAGTACAGTGATAGGCTCACACTCACTGCAGCCTCAAACTCCTGGGCTCAAGTGACCCTCCTGCCTCAGCCTCCCTAGTAACTAAGACTACAGGTGTGCACCACTATGTCCCACTATGTTTATTTTAAGAGACAAGGTCTCACTATTTTGCCCATGCTGGTCTCAAACTCTTGGCCTCAAATCTTCCTGCCTCAGCCTCTCACACCACTGGGAATGCAGGCATGAGCCACTTCATCTGGCTTAGAATTTTAAGATATGTATAATATATTTTAGGCTAAAATAACTTCAGTACATCCTTAATAACTTTTTGGCCTTCACTAACTAGCTATGTGTGATTTAAGGCAGGGTATTGAACCCCTCTTAAGTAATCATTTTTTACTTGTATAAAATGATGTTAATGTGATATACTTTTGCAGTAATGTTTTAATAAATTAAATAGAACCTATCACATTGTCTGGAATATAATGGATACTTATTAAATGGTAATTGTTACTTCTCAACAGATCCCAGATGGATTTTTTGCCCATTTTTATGCCATTTGTGAACACATTAGCCCAGTCCTAGCCTGGGGCTTTTTGGGTCCTAGAAATTCTCTCTATGATTTGTGCTGCTTCTTTAAGGTACGTTCAGTCATTGAATCATTTCTTTTTTTACGCCTAAATCAAAAAACGATAAGGTTTTATTTTCTTTTGTTTTTATGGAAGAAAGAATATTATTTAAAAGTAAAGTTATAAAAGTCATCTAAATTCAGTGTTTAAGTGCCAGTATTATATTAGCGGCACTTTATAATACCACTGTTATTATAGTGGACCAGTTTTTAT